GTAATCCACCCAGGGAGCTGTATGGAAGGAAGGACGGGAGAAGTCAGGTCAAAAAGCAGGCATTATGTGCTTGGACCTTCAGGTCCTTGTTAGCAAACTGACTGCTGCATTTTGTACCTTCAGCTTCTGAACAGTCTTCAAGGGAACCCCCACACAGAATGCATTGCAGTAATCTAGTTTAGAGATTGTCAGAACATAAATTACAGAAACTAGGCGATCCCTGTCCAGACAGGGGCACAACTAGGCCACCAGCCAAACCTGATAGAAGACACTTCATGCAACTGTGCTCATGTGGGACTCAGCTGACAAAGTTGACTCAAGGAGCACCCTCGAGCTACAATTCTGTTTTATCACAAAGTGACCCATCCAGAACATGTTGAACTCCCCACATCTGGTCAGATCCCAATGTTGTCAGTTTTGAGATTCAATTTGTTTGCCCTCATCCAGTCCATTGTCACAGCCAGTCACTGATTTCACACAACCATAGCCTCACCTGATGAAGATAAAAATGAGATGTAGAGCTGTGCGTCATCAATATACTGATAACTATGCATCTGAAAACACCAGTGATTTCATACAGATGTATTTAATATGGGGGACAAGATAGCCCATACTGGAGAATCCAAGAAACTGATCAACATTCACCAAGTACTTCCTTCTCAAGCCTACCATCCAGGTAGGAGTGCAACCACTGAGATGCAGTTTTCCCTATTCCCAACTCAGCCAGCCATCCCAGAAAGATACCATGGATGATGAGAGATCTAGGAGAACCGACATGGTAATACTCCCCTATTCTCCCTTGGCTCTGATCATCATCCAGGGTGTTTCTGTGCCAAAACCCAGCCTGACCCCTGACTGTAATGGATCTAAATCATCAGTCTTACCCAAGAGTACCTAGAGATGGTTGGTCACCACCTGCTCAAGGATGTTGCCCAAGGAGGGGATATATGCCACTGACATAAAACTGTTACATCTTTGGGCCTAGAGAGGGTTGCTTTAGGAGTGTCCTTACCACTGCTTGTTTGAGGTGGCATGGGACCACTTCCTCCCACAGTCATTAATCACCTTCTAGGTGCAGTGGGCTTCTCCCTCCTTGCTAGCTTTTATTCGCCAAGAGTGGCAAGGATCCAGTATAGACCTGGATGCATGAACTTGTCAACAGCCTTGAGCTGAACCAGACCTACGCTCTGAATTGCTCATCTTGAAATGTTTTAGGTTTGCAAATATGAATAATATGCACCAGTACTCTTAAATGTTCTGAGCTTGCTCTAATCAGAATTTTTGAAAACTGCCTTATCTAGCATGCCTCACTCATATGCATGTTAAGAAAGATGGCTAAATGCCTCTACAGAAGGCAGTCAGGGATCGTGTATTCCATGTAAAGGTAGGCATGTGAAAGCATGCCTGCACCTGGTTAATAACCAGCAGCAGAAACAGAGCTAAAGGTCTCTACTGAGCCTTATGTAATCCCCTTCTACATCTGCCTCTTTTTTGTTTTGCTTTGTTACACTATTTGTTTTTGTCTTTCTCAGATGGCTGTCAAGTAACACTTTCCCTAAGTCTTTAAGGATCTGATCTGGCTCCTAATGATTCTATATCACAAGCAGCCCTCTTGTGTTTTTGATTATATCAGTAATTGAGACAGGAAGAACTGAACAACACTTATTCTAGAAATTTAGGAGCATCATTTACCTAAGCTTAAAATATATATATATATTGGGGAGAATTTAATGACATTAAGTCATTCATGATTTAATGTTGCAATTGAGGTAGCTCCAAGATGACAGAGGCATTTTTGTAATGGAAGCACACATAATTAAATATAAATATGCAATTCACATCTGTCAGACAGCAACATCTGAACAAAATTACATTTATTTGTGTCACAGTAACACCTGGACCCCTTTCTTTATAAAAAGCAGGACTGTTTTATTTGTCCTAACAGCCCATTGTGATTTTGGTCTTTTATTATGACTAGCAGAGCAGCATACTATAACACTGAGATTTATAATATTTTAAAAGTTACAGGTATATTGTACATAAAAGGCAGAGTGTAACTGCACAGTAAGTACACCAAAGCAATAAGCACAGGAAATCTGACAACACGGTTTCTCTAATCAGGATATGAGGATACTTAACTCACAGAAATGCATATAGCTTCCTCTCAGCAATATGTGAGCTAGTTGACCCCAAAAATAGGCAAAATGGACCATGTAATTTTTAAAAAAACAAAATGATTTGGAGCAGGGGTAATGGATAAACATTTTCTCTAGGATTAAAGCCTTGTTCAAAATTATCTGTCAGGTAGAACATCTTAAAAATGATCAGCTTTATTCTTTTTGGTGTTAGGTGAACGCCTTTTTATTTTCCCAATATTTTAACAGTTAATTGGTTTTAATCTTTGATTTTATCATTATTTATTGGATGCAGTGTGTTGTCTGTTGTGTATGGTTGTTTTGTTTTTGTTTTATGTAAGCTGTCCAGAGACTTTAGTATTGGACGGAATATAAAAACTTTAAATAAAAATAAATAAAATAAATCAGTACTCAAGAGATGGATCCCAATCATTTGGCATACCAAAGGGTTCATTGGGTTTCACAGTCACTTGAAACCTTACCTTTCTATAGCCTCATAGCCCATCTACCAAGATCTCTTGCATCGCAATCCTATACTTGTATTTGTGGAAGTTAAGTCACTCTGAGTTGAGGTCAGTCCCTTCCCCTCTCCTTTGTCTTTCCAAGCAGATGAAGACAATATACTTCTAACCACAATCTGTATTAAGTTAAAGCAGGCCAGCCAGGCTAGTGTTGTGACACAAAACAGCTATTGCAGGCATCATTCGCAAAAACCATCAACTGAGTTTAGAAAGCCAGCTAATTAGGGCAATTGCAGTTCGGGCCAAAAAGCTGATTCCAGAATGAATATGCTTCCTCCTTTCTCAACCACACAGAGTCAGCTTCACCCTCAAGAAGGTTCCCACTGTTTGTGGCCCATTCAGTGAGAATGCGAGATACTATTCAACCGAACAATGGGGCTAGTTATCTTAGAACACTCGTTTTCTGGGCCTATCTGTTCAATAGGGTCTTCCCCAGAATCAGAGGTGGCCTGATTTTCACCAGCTGCTGGGCTTATCTCAAAGCTCATTTGGCATTTCAGCTGAGAATTCTTGATGAGAGTCCTGCTGGACTACATATACATAAATAAATAATAAAGTCCAACACTGCCTCTTCTAGTTCAGATTCAGAACCTGAGGTAGCTACCTTGGAATGCTGCATTTTGGGAGAAGTGACATACATGTTGTGCATGAGACCTGGAAGTAAGCCTCTTTATAGGTATTAGTATGCTTATGATGAAACAGAGACCAACCATTTGTAAAGGGAAAGTCATAGTCCCAAAAGGTAATGCACCAGTAACTGAAAACATTAGTCCTATATCACCAGATCTAGGGTTCATGTAAAAAATATGAACTCAGTTGAACCATTCCAATACGTGGATCCAAAAGCTCTAGGCATGATCAGATCAAATAGGAAGAAAGACTATTACACTTAATCATGAAAAAGTACATCAGTGAAAGCCATACTTCTAGTCACAAGTGTGCCCAAATGAGGACCAGAAGATGACATGAATGGGAGGCCATTCAGAGCATCTCTTGTGCTCTAGCAAGAAATCTACCACCCACCTTCATGTGTCTGAGTGTTCTTCTTTTCTGTCTTCCTATACCATTCCTTTTTCCTTTTATGTTGCATCTTTCAACCTGTGAGCTTTTGGGCAGTGACTGTTTTGTCAGTTTTTGCTTTTATGCAAGTCACCCTTGGTGTGTTTTTGGCTAAAATAAAAATGCTTTAAACAAACCCAGGGAATGTGGCGGGGGGGGGGGGAAGCAAAACAAGGGCACAAGGGGGTTATCAACTCTATTTCAATTAAGGCCCAAATCAAAATAGCGCCACCAATTTAGAGTGGAAAGACATTTACTGATGATCAACCTTCTGTCAGTTGAATACCAACAGCAACTTCCTAGCAATGAGTGTGGGCATTCCTTCTATTAATCAGTTTCAAGGGGACAGGTTTGGGTCTATCGGTCTACTGGGTGTGACATGACAACTTCACCTTGCTCATAAGACCAAGAAACGCACTTGTTTATATTTAAATATTGAAAACAGTCAAATCCTCTATGGCTGAAGTTTTAATTATATTCTTACATTGCAGTGATACAGTGGTGTGAAATGGCAAAACAGTAATGGTTCATAAACCAAAGGTGATTAGTGAATCTAAAAACAAGTTATTGCCATAAAATTAAAGAGGAGATGCATGCACATCCCTGTAGTTAAAAGAATTTCCCAAAAAGCAAGACAAAACCTGACAACAACTTAATCTATGCATAATATTACTGTACATGTGCACAAATGCCTACATGTAAATTTCATAACTAGATAATAATCCAAGAAATGGAGGCATGCAACAAACATTGGCTGTCTGGAGAATCCTGGGAGTTGTAGGATTTACTGCTGCCTTGTTTGTTTATTTATTTGATTTTTGTCCTGCCCCATTAGCCATAAGGCTCCCTTAAAATGCATAGAATTGCACTCTATAAATAAAGTCTTGTTCCTTTCCTGAAATACCTTTCTCAGATATGAAGTCAGTCTATCTATATTGCAACAGTTTAGAATACAATGTATAATATAAAAAAGCAGTACTGAAAGTACATTGTTTTGATTCGTTATAGTTAAAAATATTTTAAATTTAACTGAGAGCAACTGGCTTCAATGCTTCTTATAAATATAACACAAGCATGCACACACACTCATGCTCTCTCTCTCTCTCATATATATATATATATATATATATATATATATATATATAAAAGAAATAAAAATGAGCATATGTTTCTCTTTAAAGAAGTCAGAAAAAGACTTTTCTTACACAATAAATCAGCTACTAGTATGTTTCCAAGACACTGTTCCAAGCTAACAGCTTAGATATTTCTTAAAATCAGGAATTACCTCTGTGTGTATCCAAAATTGGTAAAGGAGATTAAACTGAATATGAACGGCGTACACTGAAGGTGGAATAAAGAGAGCCATTGGTAAATAGAATATCTGAAAAATAAAAAGGGAAAGTTATCAAATGAATCTGAAATAGTACAAATACAGTAGTCAACTGAGAAATTCAGATAGCAATCGGATCTTGAAACTCTTCCCGTGAAGCAGATGTTCTACTCTCATCATAAAGGAATTATGGGAAACTCAGTGCTATGCCTGCAACAATAACACTGGAAGAAGCCAGAAAAAGAGAATGTACCTATTCTCAAACTTTGGCTGCTATCCTGCTCTTTAGATACATACCATCATATTCTGACATTCTGAAATATGCTTCCTTGAAACCTGGTAATGATAAAGAGGTGCTATAACAAAAATGGTTGCCATATTTCATTATTAATTGCTCTGCTCAAATGTTCACCCCACTACTTTACTGACATGGAATGCCTAACCAGCCAAAATGTTCCTAGCAGATATTAGATATGTCTATAATATTTTCCCAACTGCTCATGTGGCTACATTCAATTAATGCCATTAAGTAAGACTCTGAAAAACCCAAGTATAATAAACAGACTTTTTTCAGTGCTAGCCCACACTTACATCACAAAAGTTTCTAAAGAAAGTATTTGGAACTGAACTATGGAGAAAATGGGAAATGATAGCTTCATAATGCAAAACTTTTCCCAAAAACATTGAAGAAGGATGTGGGAATCCTGATTATTTTCTATTTTGGCACAACAAAATAAAATAAACTGGAAGTGAGTCAAGCAGTGAGAACCACTGTTCCTTCTTAATTAAGTCCATCTGAAAATTGGTTCTTTCTTATTTATTAACATATAAGCATATAAAAACTTGTAAATGGCATAGGGCATATAAAACAGATAAATAACATAAAAACCAATGTCAATATATTAATTAATATGCTTAATTGAATGACTTTTTTCTTTGGTCTTGTATAATGTTAGGGAAGGATTCTAATTCTCTCCATATGAATATAACATAGCATTAGGAATCAGTAACAAAAAGTTCTATATTTTTTAATATTTATATCCCACTATTTTTTATTTCTTGCAAGGAATGCATGGTGGATTACATAATACTGCTTTTATATTTTTAATCCTCACAAGAACCCTGTAAGGTAGGATAAGCTGAGCGCCCAAGCCCATGACTGGACCAAAGTATAAAATGGTAACAACCAACATATCTGTTACCAGATTTTCTCATTGCACAACAGTATACAAACTTACCCATGACGTATACTTCTGCAGGAGTGATTGTCTTAATGCTGTGAATAGGTTATAATACTCAGAGCTATGGTGAGCTTGGTGTCCTGCCCACAATAAGTTAATCTCTGCAAAACAATGCAAAGTTATATGAGTCACAGAAACAAGAACAAGAAATAGTTCTCCCTATAAAGACATTACCACAAAATTCACATATCTAAACACAAACTTAAGATGGAAATTAACACAGATTAGCATGTGGTACACAACCACAGCAATGCGGGGTTCTTTTATTTTAGACAACTGCTAGAAGCATTGAATGCTGTGAGGCTAGATATCATAAGGGTGAGGTCTCAGGTATGCTCACTTGGAAGCTGGAGCCGCCAAACACAGCAAGCTACACATCTGAGCCACATATCCAAAGAGCTGAAATGCCAATGAACTAGTCACTTCAAAGCGGCCAAGTACATAGGCGAGACCAGGACCAGGCTCAAGGAAAGACATTGCTGGTCATCTGATAAAGTCCCACACCTCAGCAGAAACCCACAGAAAGATGCCCCCCTGAGCTGCCTCCCCTCTTCACCATTGCCACCTGTTTGTTCATCCAACAGGTTTCCACCTCCATGCTCAGTAGCTCCCTCCCTGTCAGATATGCAGGTGGTAGCAAGAGCAAGAAAAACGTTTAGGAGCAATAGCAGCCAATGACAATGAGAAGGACAACTCATGAAAAAGGGAGTCTTTTGAGGACATGTGATTGATTGATTGATTGATTGATTGCATTTGAACCAGAAGGTTCTCTGGGCAATTCACAGTGCAATCATAACAATAATGCAGATAAAATAGAAAATATAGATGACTAAAATGATAACTAAAACCACAAAACATAATAGAATAAAATGCAATATAAATGCAAGAGGAGAATAAACACGGTATAATCAATAAAACAGCAGCAAGACTAATAATTATAATCTAAAAACAAGTCTTAACGAGATTAAACAAGGTAAAGTGGATGCCAGTTGCACCTCCCCTGGAAGGGAATTCCAAAGGTGGGCTGTGATGACAGAGAAGGCCCTTTTCCTCACCAATTCCCCCCTGACCTCATTTGAAGGGGTTTGCAAAGGGGAGCTTCTATTGATGACCTGAGTGGTCTGGTAGGGATATGTGGAAACAGGCACTCCTTTAGATAGATACACCAGTCCCAAGGCATTTAAGGCTTTATATGACCAGGGAACTCTAAAACTGGAAAGTACTCAAGTAATCTGGCTGCCGACATGCCTGGGTCATTGAAATGGCCTTTGCAGGAGATGCTGATGGGCATGCAGCTTCTGTCTGAATGGAAGGATATTTGAAGCAAACCACATCTAAAGTGGCTGAAAACTGCCTTATGAGATTGAGTAAAGCTTAAAATAACAAATTGTAATGGAAAGAAATAGAGAGATTACTTAAATGGCTATTTTAACGGGAAGTTACACGTGCTTTCTAAAAACAGATATTTTAAGTGTAAACATGAGATAAATAAGAACAACTTCCTTATTCAGTCAGTTCACACAATGTGTTCAAAGCCTTTGTAGTCACGAACGAGCAGCTGTGAGCAAGTGAACATGCTAGTTCCTATCTGTTTCCACTGGCATAAGTAACAGGGATGCTGCCTTTGGGTTGTTTATCATGCCTGCTGAATGTGGAATCATGGATTGCTGGGGGAAGAACAGCCCGTGGGTTATGGGTTTGATGGGGGGTTTTTTAATTTTCCCTCCTCAAATGCAATTCCACATTTGAATGTCATGCTAAATAACCCGGGACAGAGCACCTCAGGAGTGAACATGCAGTTTGAATCCAGTGCATTAATGTACTCCTACTTAATCAAAATGATCTGGTTAGTTGTAAGGTGCAAATGGGTCATTATATATCAAAATTTTAAGAGCACTGTTCTGTCTTCTATCATCTCTAACATAAAAACCTTCCACTTATTGATGTTATTTAGGTACTTTCTGAACACTTACTTGAAATCACAGAACAGGGAGACAGTATATGCTTTTCTGATCAAAAAATTTATCACTTTCCATATTTTAAGTCTGATGGCAGTACAATTCCTTGAAACTACAGAAAACCCCTTCTGAACATAGAGAAACATCAACTGGTATTTTAATACTGAATCTAACTACCTTTGAGGCAGGCACAAACTTTAAAATCATAGTTTGAGTTCTTAGAAATTCAGATGCACAACAAAAAGAACAGGAATTTTAAATGCAGATTTCTACTTACTTTTTCCCCAATGGAAATAGTAAACTTAAACAATATTTTCAATATTGCACACTGATAAGCCACTATGTTTGTAATTCTGTGATAAAGAACAGGTCTACAGGTCTATATTTGTCAGAGGCTGTGCCACCAACACCCAAGTGCTTTTAAGCTATCAATCTTCCAACATGAGATAACAGGTCTCTTTTTCAGAACCTTATTTAAACTCCTTAGTAATCAGGTTAACATGTTTGTCAAGCAGTACAGTGAAATGAAACAGGGGGACAGCTTCACCAAAGGAGCTTAGATGGGGAATGAGGCCCACCTGAGACTCCAGGACTTGGAAAAGTTGTGTCATGACTTGACCTTACCAACCACCCAAAGACAGAAGAAAGATTCCACAGTCATATATATTTCTATGGGTGCTGGGCATCTCCCAAGGAGGGAAATTCAAACTGACCCATCAATAACCTGGGAGCATCCTCCAGGTAGGTTCTCTAACACCTACTTAGCAGAGCTGACTTCACATGAAAGGCATATACAAGTGCAGGTTTTGCCGTCTACAACAGTCTTGGCATGTTTTTTGTTCAAAGATGCTTCCAGAAAAGAAAAGTTTTAGTTCATCACAACCTTGCTTACAAGTTCAAGCATTTCCACATTCAATGCCAACTTTCTTTTTCTACAGGTGGGAGGAAATAGTTAATAGTAGGAGGGAAGTAATTACTTAACTGTGCACTTAACCCCTGCTTGCTTCAGCATGATGGTTGTCTCATGTCTCTTCAGGCCATGTCATGTCACAAATACATTATGAGACATTTGAAAATATGAGTAAGGCAGAGAGGGTACAAGTTTCAGAATAGGACACAAGACTGCAGAGAAAAACACCAGCTTTGATTGAACAGTCATCATTTATTGCCAAATATGGTAAAACTTCAACCCTGACAGGATTTGAGGTCCAACTCACTCCTCCTGGATCCATGTTCTAGTTCTTGACCTTCTTACAACACTGATGGATCCATCAGCTGCTTGAGGGCTCTGTTTCTATGGAAATAGGGATGCAGGCCTGGCCAGCCAACAGCCCCACACATGGAAGCTGGTGACTTATCTACCCAGTGCCAGTGGCCATTTACTAACATTATGCAACCTCCCTCACAACATTAGAAGCAATAAATGTACAGCGCTACTGGAAGATACAAAAGCAAGACAGGCCTTCCACCAAACTGAGAAAGCATTGCCATTGCCAGCTACTCAATTATCTTGCACTCTTTGTGTCATAAATTACCCCAAGCCAGTATCCCAAGAGTTTGTCAAAAAGCTTAAAATGTTCATGTTATTGAAAATTACTCTGGACATGTGCAAATGCAGTATACCAGTACCTTGGGTGGCCAGATTGCTATGAATTTTACAAATCTATGTCTATTTGGACAGTTATGAGTAGGAATTTGGCAAGCAGAACTGAAGAGACAAAATCTTTCATGGTCATCAGATGTGTAGCCTCAGGCTTCATGAAGTGTCTTGAGTATATCATTGAATGAAGGTGGGTGGTGGAGTCCAGAAGTTGCTGTGTTATATTTAAACTTGTTTAGGTCACCTGTGTTTTAAAGAATGAAGTTTACATAAAGTCTCTGCTGATCATGTGCAAGTTGACTGGATGGCAGCCAGGTGAACCCTTCTCAGTAACAATGGGGAAAAGGTAAGATTTCAGTGGAACAATTAAGAAAGCTACCTTTGGCAGAACTTGGGAACTTATTCAGTATGTGACATTTAAAACTTAATACCTCGGTATCATCCCCTGCCAAAACTGTATGAGGGCTGATGATTAACACATAAGTGTAAATCTGCCAAATCAAATACATTAATGAATCTTCAGGTCATCCATTCCGAGACACTAGAGTAATTGCAAACTACTTGTAAGCTAGATATTAACATAAGATAACTAATGAATTATGACCTGTTAGTAATATAGGAAGCAACATAATCATCTCTGGCTGTCTCCCAAGCCTCTCAAAATCCTTACAATAGCTACACTGAAAAACTATAATTTAAGCAACCCATCAGAAAAAAATCCGTAACATGCAATATGAGAAATCTTTTTGAAAATTTATCTTCTCCTGAAGTATACAGTATCTTAAAATTCAATTCTTCAGGGAAATGAATATCTTAATCCACACTTCCTAATGAGTTCACTAGGGGATGAGTTATTCATTCCAGCTACAATACTGTGCAATAATTTGTATTTGAAATACTTCCTAGGACTATGACAGAAGCTAAATGAGCGAACAAAAATCTAAAAAGGGTGGAGGTTAAAGATCTGTCTCCTTAGTTGTTTTAAAGACATATACTTCCTATCACAACCGTGTGTAACACAAACCTCAGCTCAATGAGATACAGCTGTACAAACAGTACAGTAACTGGATCTTGTTTCTTTCCCTCAGTCATTTTTTAGTATTGTGAAAAGTTCAAGGAAGAGAATCTATGATGAATTTTTACATTGTACATTCATTCAAGTTCAGTTCAAATGGTATTCAAAGAGAATTATTATAGGTCCATTTTATTAACAGCCAGCATTCAATTCAAGAGCTTGCTAAACTGGTGAAAACAATGCCCAATTACGTTTTTCATCTTCAAGACATCAGTCAACTGAGAAAATTAGTGAGTTTTATATGCACACTCTTGAAACGCATATGTCTGCTGCAACTGTAATTGCTATATTTTACTGCAGGCATTCCTACTGTTCAACTGGAAACCCACCAATCAGTGAAAGCAGCCACCATCCTCTTTAGAACCTAGCAAGGCAATTCTGTCCTCTTGAAGCAAAAGGGCCTTAACAGAACAATCCTATTCATATGTCACCAAGTTCTGCTGATGTCTATATGGTTTATTTCCAGGT